TGAGCCTATTGCCATATACCGGGCGCAATTTCAGACTCCGTGCTACTACTAAGAATATTTAAAAAACTCAGTAATACTTTGCCCGACCCGGGAATCGAACCGGAGACCCCTTGCCCGACAGTCGCACTTGCGACCACTCGGCCAACGAGGCAGTCAATTAATATAAGATAGAGTGGGAATTGAATGAGAAATGACAGTTGTTATCAGTGCGTAACTGATACAAACAATTGGAACAAAAAAGGAATCAGATCTAAATGTTACATAACGTACGTTTATTGTTCCATGCCTACGTAAATCAAAAGGGTTTGTGGTTCCAAGTCCGAATACCATATTTGGCAAATGAAGAATGATTATAGAGGGACAGAATGAACTGACGTATAATTTTTTCATGTGCCGTAGCGCTGGCTACGCCGTAGTAATGCTACGAAGCCGGCGTAGCAAAACTATGAACGTGTAGCAGCATTGTATTAACGTTCATTTAAGCCTAGTAAAGTTAGATTTCACTCTACATTTGAATGTAAAAAGTATTTATTTACAGATTATGTAATAAATTACATAACTTTAACTATGAATTATACATAGGTGCTAGAGACAAACAGTCCGTATAATGAATATACGCCCACTAAAGTCACTAGGGACATGTTTGTGGCATACATTTACATTACATATATAATTGCCAATTAACTGGCCGTCAATAATTAGCTATAAACAAGCTAGTGTCAATAATGCGGCATCTGTATCGGAATTATCATGTAGATTGTAGATCTATGATCCTTGGCGTCAGATTGTTGGAATGTTAATGTATTATTAGGCGTTTTATGACATGGTTGATGCAATTAGAAGAGGATTTTGACAGTTGTTACATGGTATATGTTCCTTTCTCATTTAAGAGAGTTTAGTAAACGACTACGTAAGTTGAGATTTCGATAAACTAAGATACGTAACCTAAGATTTCTAAGTTTAGAAATAATTTTAATAGACTTTAGATTTTTTTATTCTTATTTTGATATGTGTTGAATCAAAAGCACTTTGTCTTACATATTTAGGGAAATCCATTACGATTTCAGAATTTAAGATTTTGTTTTGTTTGACTGCACGGTTGGCGTGGTGGCTGGGTATCTGACTGCCGTGCAACGTGCCGCGGGTTCGATTCCCGCACGGGACAACTCTTTGTGTGATTCACATAATTGTTGTTTCGGGTCTGGGTGTTATGTGTATGTGGGCTTGTATGTTTGTAAATGCACCCACGATACAAGAGAAAATCCTAGTGTGAGGCAACGTTTTTTTTTTAATTAGATTCTTTTTTTATTTTAACCTAATTCGCTTTTACTGCCTTACAAATACTTCAACCAGAAATCAGACGTTTGTCCCTCTGCCAGTTACAATAGGCATTCAGTGAATTGTTACCAAACGTGTCAAGTGATTAATTGGCTGACGCTGCAGTCCCACGCAACCTTACAATAAATATGCTCCTTACCCACCTACAGTCCGGAAATACAAGGACGCTCCTAATTAATTTACTTTGTAATTAATTGTTATGTGCTCTTTTGAGGTTACTTCGTCAAAATGTAAACAAAAGGCTGGTTCTTGACACGTTGGACTTTAGAATGATTTTATTTTGGATAATAGAAAGATAATGAGATAAATGTTCACATAGACAAAGAGTTCAAACAACTCTTTTCTAGGCTTAGGTTCATTTTAACTTTGATTTAATAACTAATCTGCTAACATGATTATATCATGTATTTGTACATTATTGATTATACCGCCATCTAGTGTCAACTATACAAACTACGTCCTACAATCAACAAAAGAAAACAAAATACAAAAGCTTATTCGTTCGGTAGTAAATTGTGTTTACGGAATTTTCACTGAAAGGTAGTATAAATAAATAATAATGAATATCGAATACCTATAGACGTTTAAGCTGTCATAAATATGTATCTTAGGCTTCAATATGTAGGTACACCTAGACTGAATACAATTATTAGAGTAAATACACAGTTATTTGAGTTCGCTTTGCGGTTTCTGTGTCTGAAAGCTTTGAGGACATTTGTGTTAGGCAAGTTACTTCTGTGATATATTGTTTATTATTATTGAATTGTTAGATCTAACACAAGGTCTTATGATGACTTGAAGTCTGAGTAATGAGCGTTTTTCTTCAATATGAAGAGTACATTTTACTAAGGGCAAATAAAACCGGAGAAACGGCTCAATCTTCGTATTGCTCATCCGGCTTGAATTTCAAGACAGTTCATTTAGTTTGTTTAAAGCATAATATTTTTCTATGCCAACGATTTAGCAACATACACTTTAGTACACAAGATATTGAAGTAAATCCTCTTTTTTATTTTAGATAACTTCTGCCCGCGACTTCGTACGCGCAGTCCCGTTTTATCTCGTTTCCATAGAATTTTCACGATTTTTTTCTGTCATAAGAACCTTCTCCTGACAATAATAAACACAAAAAAATCAGCCAAATCGGTTTAGCCGTTCTCAAGTTATGGCGTGACAACGGGAAACGGGTTTCATTTTCATACATATAGATAGATAAAGATAATAAAATTGCTACAAAAAAGTATATATAAGATGAATAACACCCTGATTTTGAATTCAAAATCATATAACATTTCAAATAACGTTCAATTTTGAATGGAATACACAGGTTATTAGAATTCCGTTCACTACAAACTCATTGCTGAACTACATTGAATAGACAATAAGTGTAGAACAATGACATAGATTGTTTGTAAATACAGACAAACTTATGCTTTGTGTTCATATGCAAACATTGTTAGGGTGCTTATGTGAGGGAACAAGTTACTTAATACACAAACTTTGTATGGAGGGATACGTGTGTCTTCCATGCAGGATTTATCAAAAGGTATTTAACGACGACAACAAGAGATAAGCAGGGAATTTTGTTTCAATATTGTGAACCTGTTTTCGCAAGTAGAATTTCTCTAATGTGGTATTTAATGTAGGTAAAATGTAGGTAATTAATTTATTAAAGTGCTATAGATGTTTATTGCAAAAACCTACAAATGTGTGTAAATATTATAATTATCGTGAAAAACTGAACATAGTTATAATTTCCGTGTGATTCGCAGTTTCATAATGACTTTAATATGCATTATGTAAAATAAACTTGAATTTTGTTTAATAAAAAGTATATATAGGTAAGTTTGTTTAAGGCAATTTCAAATAAATAGTCAAAGTCTTTAAGACTTAATAGTTTGTAAAGTAACTACTAACAAGGCCTATGTGTACTTGTACGTACCTACCTATTCTTTGTTCACTTTTTTCAGGCACGTTTCGTGGGATCTTGTTACAGAAACATTACAAGGCTGTATTGTTTACAGCCGACATAAAAGAACGTGTCTTTATCACACACACCCACATACAAACTTACATCATACATACATACACTCCTACATAAAACGAACACAAATATAAAACTTTGCTAAAATACTTTTATCAGGCGATGTGTATACAATTTTTAACTTTTATACCAAAATAACTTTGGCGTGATCTATTTGCTAACGATAAGGGTCGATCCGTCAGAATTTTGAGCCCTTCCCTATATTCAGGTCTGTATTTGAATCTGTCAGATTTTTTATTTTTTACTTATATTTGATGTGTCGATGTTGAAGCGATGATGTGATCTAAGATGGAGCACATAGTCTCATAAGCAACTTATTCACTCGGGCCTTGAAGACCCTTCAGGAAATGTATTTCCTAAAGGGTCTGTAGATTCTGGCAAAGAATTCTACTTCTTAGCAGTACGCACAAGGAAGCTTGATGCGAAGCGCTTCGTGCGTAAAAGATTTAAGATTTTGTGCTAGTATAACATAAATGGAAATATCCTCAAATTGGTGGTATTGTCATATAGCAAAATGACGCCTGTTATCATCTATATACAGACACTGCAATACAACCCTATCATATTTTGTTTGATTAGTGTGTAATTATTCAAATGCATATAATGAGATAAGTATTTTCATTTTCCTGGTATTGGTTCATTACATTATTGGTCAATTGTAATAAGATGCTAAACTACCATATTTACCTTAAGGAAAAACCAACTGGATGTTTGTCTTTGACCAAAAATACAAGCAAAAAGGTTTCGGTGCAAAATGTCATCACATTCGGGTAAAACAAATTGAATTATGAGTAAGTCTTAAATCCGCAAATTGGGACTCCACTTAATGTCGGTCTTTTGTGCTCGTTTTAATATTACAAAATCTCTGTTAATGCGTCGTCGCGGATTTGACGTGTCGGTTTTTGTTTTAAATGAAACATTTTCGTGATAAATAATGAAAGATTACATTTCGTTTACTTTCTTAGCGCTTAGCGCTAAAAATTTTCGCTTAGTAAAATAATTTTAGTATCTTAAAGTGCTATTTAAATTAATTAAAACTGCCAAATGGGACACTTTAAATTATTAGTAGTTATTACTTACATCATAAATTAATAGCAAAGCTAAGATTTTTGTCACCGTGAAGTTGTGATTAAAAATTAGTAAGTCAGATGGTACTAACCTATCTAAACATTAATTAGTGGGAGTGATTTAAGTTTATGAAAAGTACCACAACGAACGTGCTCGTAGACGGCTGAAGACTCCATACCAAATGTAGGGGCCCTCGCCCCCGGCGTCATTTTGTAGCAATGTTGTCGCGTGTTCATTAAAAGTGTGACAGCATCGCTACTAACGCATGTTACTTTGACATGGACTTCGTGACTGTATCGACGTGAACGCGCGACGTCATTCTATTGCATCACTGCAAAAATTCGCCATGTGCAAGGGCCCTAATACCCACTAATCACCTGCAGCAATTGTTATAAGTCCTATACAATAACGGACGAACTTATAATAAAACAATAACATTGAGGAATAGCTTATTCAATAAATATGATATCGAATCGAATAATATTAATAAGCAGAACTCATAATACAAAAACGGATCTATATTATTGCTAACAGTTTTCGTTTATTTCAGCGATCTCGCTTGGTGAGGTGATCGTAATGGGGCATATAGCGAGCGGAGTAAAACCCGCTTTATGGCTATCTCTTCTACATGGCTTCCTTTTCCTCATCGGTAAGTACCCTGTGTTGTGTACTGCCTTATATTATACCACGTTTAATATGGATTGTTCTAGAAATATTACTTTTTTTAAAAGCTTTCGTCGTTTGCTTGATGGCGTTTGTTTTTTATTTGAAACGTTAAGAAATATGAGCTGGTTTTTCTTGAGTTTTGCGCAGTTATTTGTTTTTGTCGTCGTGGTTTTTGACAGTTGTTATTGTAAGAATGTTGTAATCTATATATTATTATATATATATAAGAAAGTCGTGTTAGTTACACTATTTATAATTCAAGAATGGCTAAATCGATTTGGATGAAAATTGGTGGGGAGGTAGCTAAGAACCAGGAGACGGACATAGGATACTTTTTACCCAATTCTTTTTTTTTCACTTTTTACCGAAAATCAAGAACTGGAAATATCGGGATTGCGCGTACGAAGTCGTGGGCAGAAGCTAGTACTGAATGAATGGCTATAGAAGTATTTACGCATAGCAACGTGCAAAACTTATAGGTAGGTGTATGTGTTACTAAGAGTATTCAAAGGATAAATACATATACAATTTACAATCGAATATTTAAAATACGAATTAATATTCAAGTAAAAATCAGCAATTTGATTACATAAAATCTGCAAACGTAGCGCTGTCTAAAATTTTCATAAAATTCATTTCGTTCTCGATGACAAAACGCTAACTTCGGTATTTCGTGCTAGACTACCTCATGAAAATTTATGAATTTGTTATTATCATGTCATACTCATGTTTAGAAATGACTCAAATTTGAAATCAGGTCTTAATTTGATTTTCAGAATTACTATAGGTAATAATGACTGCCTCGTTGGCCGAGTGGTCACAAGTGCGACTACCGGGCAAGGGGTCTCGGGTTTGATTCCCGAGTCGGGCAAAGTATTACTGGGTTTTAAAAAAAATCTCAGTAGTAGCATGGAGTCCGGAAATGTGCCCGATATATGGCAAATGGCTCACCCCCTATTACATGGGACTCATAACATAAATAGTGAAAAGTGGGTGATATGCACCTCTGCCTACCCCTTCGGGGATAAAAAGGCGTGAAAATAAATGTTATAAAAATGCTTCTTTTTTTTGAGGGGGCAAAATCATCCAATGTCTTCTCCCGCCCGGGTCAGGGCGAGAGGAAGTGTCAGACTCTTACTGACTAAAAACCACCCCGTTCCTACTCCTGCACTTCGAGCCGGCCTTGGTAACCCGTTAGGTTCTCCGTGGCTCCGTGCCACACAATTTAACCTTGAGGTTCACCTCAAGATATACATCTGCATAAGTCCTAGAACAGTCCTATAGTCTAGGGATGAAACAAAGGTTAGTCGACCCGTCAATTTAAGTGTAAACTATCTACATCACTGGAGGCTAGGTCCAGATTTATAGGCAGTTTTAGGTCACACTGACAACATTTATCAGACGGTTCCAAACGCCTAGCGATTTTTCAAACTAGTTTTCCAATACTGAAATACTGGGTACCGTATGTCTATACTGGGGATGAAGCTGTGTTCAAGTGGTTCATTTTAAATTGAATAATAGATATAAAAGGTGTTTAACAATAGTTTATGTACCATTTATATACAATTAGTTTGAAAGTATGATAGATATACATTGATGTAAGTAGTATGTAGTTAGTGAAAAAAATTAAAGCATTCTTGATCGACCTTAAGAAAATAATATAACATAGCATAACATCACGCCTTTTATCCCCGAAGGGGTAGGCAGAGGTGCGCATTATACCACTGTACAATGTAACACCTACACTTCACTATTTATGTTATGAGTCCCATGTAATAGGGGGTGAGCCTTTTGCCATATACCGGGCACAATTCCAGACTCCGTGTTATTACTGAGAATTTTTATTAAAACCTAGTAATACTTTGCCCGACCCGCAAATCGAACCCGAGACCCCTTGCCCGGCAGTCGCACTTGCGACCACTCGGCCAACGAGGCAGTCACTCAAGAAAATACTACTAAACTTAACAAATAACTTATCATAAACAGGTCAGCGGTGCAAAGCCTTCTAAAACACCTAAAATATATGAAATAGGAATAAACTACCAAAGCTTATAGCACAACCTCTTTTCACTTCTTAGAATAGTGGGTTATCCGAATAAAATGAAGAGTTAGACATAAACTCAACTTTGAACGACTAGTCTATACTTTCTAGGAACAGACATCAGAAAACAAGTCAACCAGCTAATCATTTAAAACAAGTGCACTTCTCATACATTTTTTATATCCCCTACAGCGACAATAATGATGAGTATGTATGGGTAGTAAGTGGCCCACTTTCCAAAACCCATACAGTAGGATTATGTTAATCATTAGGATTACCTCGTCCTCACACCTGAAGCATTTCCATCCTTTTATTTAAGCCCTTGCCGCTGTCGTGCCTATTTTGCGGTTTTCAGCACACTTTATAAACCCTTTTCTACTTAAATCTTAAGTCTCACAACCCAGTAGAAGATTTTAGTAGCTTTACATAGAATAATAACTTTTATGCAACACAACAAAATAGTGAAAATACCGCAGTATTCTTTTGAGATTTAAAAATGCATGTGTGCTCTATTGTCAATTTTTTATACATTCTCCAAGTTGCTTGATTCTTATTTATCTTCAATCACAATCAACTTGTCATTGTTTTATGATTGTGTTCTTAATTCAGCAAAATATAGACTGCCTCATTGACTGTGTGATCGCAAGTGCGACTGCCGGGCCCCGGGAACCCGAGACCCCTTGGTCTCGGGTTCGATTCCCGGGTCGGGCAAAGTATTACTGGGTTTGTAAAAAACCTCACTAGTAGCACGGAGTCTGGAAATGTGCCTGGTTTAATTTCCATATCCAATTTCCGTTGGCATACATTTTAACTCTACTCCAGAGTTATATTTCAAGTATTAGGTCACTGGAAGCAATCAGTTGTGATCGATCACTCGTTACTGAGCACAGCCCAATAAGTACATTACGAATTGAAACATAGGACACAACACGCCAGGGTACGTTCCATTGATGGAGCATAAACTGGAATTACGTAAAGAAAACGAAATGAGCAATACATGGATATAAATTTTACGAGGAATAGCTTAGGAAACGTGTTTGTCCGGAGATTCGTCGGATCCCATTTTGTTTGATGGAAATCACAAAGTTATTTGTTTAAAGACGTAGAGAAACTGTGTACGTAGAATAATGTTGATAGTTCTCGGTTTGTTTGTACAAACAGCTATATACAAATAATACTACTGTACTATAATGAACTGTAATTTGAATGAAATTTTATACTATCTGTACGCGTAACGTGTTTATAAGGTCTTCAAAATTTACAACTGCAACAAAAAATTAGTATTTTTAAGAAGATGCAAAAATATTACGTCGTCACTTAAAATATATTAACAATAATTTATAGAGAATTAAACAACATCACGCCTTTTTCTCCCAGAAGGTGTATGTAGGTAGAGATACACATTACGGCACTTTATGCAACTGTACAATGTCACACCTATTTTTCACTATTTAGGTATGCTATGAGTCCTGTGTAATAGGGAGTGAACCTTTTGCCATATACCGGGCATCCCAGACTCCGTCCTACAACTAAGAATTTTTTAAAATCTAGTAATACTTTGCCCGACCCAGGTATCGAACCCAAGACCTCTTGCCCGGCAGTCACACTTGCGACCACTCGGCCAACGAGGCAGTATAAATAAATATATGGAAATAAAGTTTTAGAACATAACCTACTATGCGTACTTTTTTGTTAAATAAGAACAAAGAAAATGTATATGATTATCAGAATTACGAGCAAATATCAATAAATTACTCAGTCGCGATGTCGTGCTGTTTAACAACTCTTTCTCCTTACGAAACACCGCACAATAAAAGAAATAGCAAGACGTAATATAGTTTACAACCCATCAAAATAGAGGTCAGCAATAAACCTAGCGTTTTACAATAAACATTTACAAGATCACAAACCCCGTACATTTTCTCTAAAACAGTTTATGTCATACAAACCCGATCTGCAAAAACGACCTCTAAATAAGTTAAACACATACTTGGGAGCAAAAACACGGAGCGCTTTCTCTTTTTCATTTCTTGATAAATATTTTTTGATACAAGTATTTTATTAATTGGCAACGTATGTCGTATAATAGACAATTTAGTTTGAAATGAGAGCCGCCTCGTCGGTCGCAAGTGCGACTACCGGGCAAGGGATCTCGGGTTCGATTCCAGAGTCGGGCAAAATATTACTGGGTTTTTTAAAAATCTCAGTAGTAGCACGGAGTCTGGAAATGTGCCTGGTATATGACAATAGGCTCACCCCCTATTACATGAGACTCATAACATAAATAGTGAAAAGTGGGTGTTACATTGTACAGTGGTATAATGTGCACCTCTGCCTACCCCTTCGGGGATAAAAGGCGTAATGTTATGGATGTAAAATGAGAGCATTTTGTTTTAACTCGTCGAGTACCGTATTTATAGACACAATTAAAGAACAATAGGTTGCGGTCACCGGTGACCGCTTGGTGTTTGACAGTTTAAAAGGAATAGTATTTTTTAATTTATAGAAGGTTGGATTAAAATGAAAAACACGCCAATGACTCCGATTTCTTACTCCTAAGTGTAGATCTATTTTATTTAGGTCAAACCTCAATTCTGTATCGATAAAAAACAAAGGTTATTTAGTATTAACCGCATGTAATAAGGGCCAATGTCGTTGCCAAATACCCAATTGTACATAGATAGTGAAGATATCTAGTCATAAATCATAGAGAGGTTCTTTTGTGAGAGTCGCGTTGTTTATTCGCCTCTGGTTGGCTGGCTCTGAATGGAAACTGAACATTATAGATATGTACTTGCATTTCCCGAGATGTATGGATGAAATCTTTGTAGGTCATGTTTGTGTAGCTTTCTGTTGTTTGTTTTGTAATATTAGTGTAATTGCTTCTAGAATAAGTAATCTATTATTGTTGGATATTTTTAAAAGTTCATTATCCATTTCAG